GATCACGTGACTCTGTGGATGCGGCCACAGTCGTATGTGTGAAAACCGTTTTTTTTTCCGGTACCGTTCTAACGTGGAAGCGTCACTAAGTGAAATCGAGGACTTACCTGTACATCGAACTCTGCTTGATTTATCAGGTGAATCAGGAGGGAAGGGGATTAGCAGAGGGGCAGTTATGTAGTCCAGCGGTCACCAACTGGTGGTCCGTGAGGAATTGTTGGTGGTCCGCAGAAAAATTATTTGCATTTTTTATACTGCACTAAATCCGGGGTCCTCAAACTGCGGCCCCTGGGACGGATATGTGCAATGAACGCTTGTGTTGCTGCAGAGTGTCTCCCCCTTTGGGGTCTTTTTGTGCGGGTCGGAGGGGGGCAGAAATTCCAACTCGGGGTCTGCTTCGGCCTCCTGGTGGGGGGCTTTGGGCGAAGGCTGAAGGGAAGTACCGCTGATGGGGAAGAGCCGGAGGGCCTCGTTCCAGTGGGACTGTTATCATGGCCTGGAACTGGCTGAGCATCTCAGCCCCCGGAGCCTCCAGGCGCCGGCACCTGGCCTTGCACTCCCACAGGTCTCCCCTCTGCTTGAAAAGCCCATGCTCCTAGTCCTCAGTGAGGTGCTTCTGCTGAGCCTCCTTCTCGGCCAAATCCAATTTGAACTGAGCTCTTTTGCCGACCCTTTCTCATGGGGGACCTGGATCTAGAATACGTTTTGTCCTTCTTCTCAATTTTATCTTCTCCCTCTTCTTCTTCACAGTGTGCTGCTTTAGTGGGGGAAGATCAACCTCTCTGCCCGGACCTTCCAGAACTCGATCTCTCCGAATTAGACGTGAATGATCTGAATGACAACGGTTTCCTGGGCGGGCTGAAGTGGTACAGCGACCAATCCGAAATCATCTCCCATCAGTATCCGACGGAGACGTCCAACATCTTTGAGGTAAGGAAGAAGCTCACCCTCGTCTCGGAGTGACATTCAAGAAGAGTTCTTGGGGATGGTCTTCTCCTTGCTTTGATCTTTGAGATGGTTCTCCAGCTTCAGAGTTCCTTGGATTCTGTTTCTTGGATGATGCTTTGGAGACTTTGAGATATGGAGTTATGGGACAGGAGGAGAAATTCACCCAAGGCAAGACTGCTTTAAGTGGCAATCATTGATGGAAACCTAACGTCTTAGGAATGTCCACTTGGGTTTAGGAGGCGCTAACCAGAAACTCTACAGAGGGTGATTTCAAAAATTATTTCTCAGAAATAAATAAATATGAATCTGGTTTGGAGGGTAGAACCGGGGCGGAAGGTGTGACATGGACAATAGAATTTAGTAGATCTGGTTCGTTCGACTTACGACCGCAACCGAGGCCAACATTCCTGTCGTCGTGAGATGATGGTTAAGTGGGGTTTGCCCCATTTTACGACCTTTCTGACCACCGTTGTTAAGCGAATCACCGCAGTGGATAAGCTAGAACCCTGTTGTTAAATGCATCTGTCTCCCCCCCCCTCCCATTTGACTTCGCTAGTCAGTAGGTCGCAAAAGGCGATCACGTGACCTTGGGACATGCCCACCGTCATAAGTGCGAGTCATTTGCCAAGGGTCTGAATTTTGAACACGTGACCCATGGGGCTTGGATTGTCGTAAAGAGGGTCAAGGGACACGGCAGCCATCATAGATACGAATCCCGTCTGAATCCCGATCGCGTGTGCGTTGTGTTGCTACAATGGCCGTAACTGTGAAAAACGGCCATAAGCCCCTCTATTCAGTGCCGTTGTAACTTTGAACGGTCACTAAACCAACTGTTGTAAGTCGGGGACTACCGGTAGAAGTTTTGCAGCTCTCCCCGATAGCAAATGATAAGGTGTGGTGGAATCAAATTCAGGAGGAAAACCGTAAACCAGTGTTTCTCAACCTTGGCGACTTTAAGTCTTGTGGACTTCAACTCCCAGAATCCCCCAGCCAGCTATGCTATGCTGGCTGGGGGATTCTGGGAGTTGAAGTCCACAGGACTTAAAGTCGCCAAGGTTGAGAAANTAATGAAAAGAAGGACCAGGGGAGACATGATAGCAGTCTTCCAATATCTCAGGGGTTGCCACAAAGAAGAGGGAGTCAAGCTATTCTCCAAAGCATCTGAAGAAGCAATGGATGGAAACTAATCAAGGAGAGAAGCAACCTAGGACTAAGGAGAAATTTCCTGATGCTGAAAACAATTAGCCAGTGGAACAACTTGCCTCCAGAAGTTGTGGATGCCCCAATAATGTAGGTTTTCAAGAAGAAATTGAGAAACCATTTGTCTGGTATGGATAGGTCTCCTGCTTAAAGAGGAGGGGGTTGGACTAGGACAGTGTTTTTCAACCTTGGCAACTTGAAGATGTCTGGACTTCAACTCCCAGAATTCCCCAGCCAGCATTCTGGACTAGGAGACCTCCAAGGTCTCTTCCAACTCGGTTATTCTGTTAGGGATTATTGGCAGGGGCGATGGGGAATTAGGATCAAAATTACAGCATAGAGACCTCCACTTCCAATTCCTTCCTCTCCCCCTTTGGATTTAGAAAGGGTTGCGTTACTACAACGCAGCCGTTCTGAATCCAACTTCCATCCGTGGGAGTTTTTGGTGCTGAGGACGTCCAATGTCCAGTAGGAATCGCCATGAAGCCTACAATGGCCATGTTAAAGCATGAATGTGATCTCCAGTGTTAGGTTTGGTGTGGCTAGAAGCTCTCACACCCAAGCCAAAATAAGCCCCAAAGATCTCCCCATTGACGGCTAAAGGGGGATTGCAGGGGAATGAGTCAACTTGCCAACTCCCCATGGCCAATTCTCCATGGCCAATTCTCCATGGGACAGGTAGCTGCAGGACAATTTAATAATTCAATTTAACCATTTGTCTGAAATGGCATAGAGTTTCCTGCCCGAGCAAGGGGTTGGTGTAGAAGACCTTCAAGATCCCTTCCAACTCTTCTCTTCCCTTCCCTACCCTTCTCTCTCTTTCCCTTCTTCTTCCTTCCATCTCTTCCTCCATCTCTTCCCTTCTCTCTCCTTCCATCTCTTCCTCCATCTCTTCCCTTCTCTCTCCTTCCA